AAATGAATCACTCAATATATTTCTTTCTTCTTCTGTTTTGTTGCTCTTAGCAGTTCCATCCATGTTGTCACAAATGGCAAGATTTCATCTATTTTTATAGCTGAATAATATCCCATCTTCTTAATTCAGTCATCTTTTGTTGGGCACTTAGTTTGTTTCCATAACTTGGCTATTGTAAATAGTGATGCAATGAACATAGCAGAGTATATATATATTCTTTGAATTTTGCACTCTCTTGGGTAGATATCTAGAAGTGGAATTGCTGGATCATATGGCAAATCAATTTTTAATATTTTGAGAAACCTCTATACTGTTTCCCATAGGAGCTGGAGGACCAGCTCACATTCCCATCAACAGTACATGGGATTCATTTTTCTCCACATCCTGTGACAACACTTGTTGTTTCTGGTTTTTTGATATGGGTCATTCTCACAAGTGTGAGGTGGTATGTCGGTGTGGTTTTGATTGACATTTCCCGGATGATAAGTGATGATAAGCACTTTTTTATGTACCAGTTGGCCATCTGGATGTCTGCTTTGGGGAAGCGCCTATTTAGCTCTTCTGCTCATTTTTTGATTGGGTTGTTTTCTTTTTGTTCATTTGTATGAGTTCTTTATAGATCTTGGGTGTTAGCTCCTTGTTGGAAGTATGATATGCAAATATTTTCTCCCTTTCAGTGGAGCAAATTTTTGTTTTAATGATAGTTTCTTTGGCTATCCAGAAGCTTTTTAGTTTGACATAGTACCATTCATTTATTTTTGACTTGAGTTTGTTTGGATAAATAACAGTAGAAGTATAAGGATTAAAATACAGAACAAACAAAATTCCACCCTCCAATTTTATCACCTGAAATCAACTAGAGTAAAGCACTTCCTGGCCCAGAGTGCTTTCCAATAGTTGCAGGCCAAAATACTTTTCCAGTCTAGTTTGCATTTCTCTCTTTTAATAAATGTAAACCTAAGGATCCAAGACAGAACTAAAATATTTCTTTAAAAGTCAATTTTAAAACATAATATCACAGGAAATGAGTGGCTTATTCATTTGTCATTTTCCAGCATAATGTTACAGATGACAAAAACATTTGCCTGAAATTTTCTTTTACTTGCTGAAGATCTCACTTGCATAGTTCACACATCATGTTTCATTGAGAAATAAATCCTTCATAATGTGGGGTTACTATCATCATTATATAGATGAGAAAATTGGGCTGAGAAAAAGGAAGTAAGGTGAAAACCACATAGCAACCCAGGACAGCTCAAGGTCTGCTTCAAACCCTGGGACCTTGTTCCACAACCCACCGTGTTCTCCTCTTGTCACCGCTATGTGTGGGATTTTTTTTTTTTTTTAACAAAACTTTTTTTTTTTTTTATAGAGGCATGTTTTATTTATTTATTTATTTATTTGTTCGTTTGTTTCGTTTATATATGCACTGGGTACAGTCAGAAGCGCGGGAGGGTGAGAGAATTCACCAGAGCCAGAGCAGGGAGCAGAGCAGGCAGAAGGACTGAAGTACACGGCTGAGGGGAGCAGCGGGCGGCAGGAGAGGTCTGCGCACCATGTGGGACCCTCCTCTGGTGGCCGGGGAGCAGCCGGGAATCGAACCGGCGCTGCAGAGGCTGCGGGCAGCTTCGCAACCCAGCGCTCAACCGCTGCGCCACCGGGGAGGCCCTATGTGTGGGATGTTAAGAAACTGTGCAGATGTTAAGAAACACATACATAAGGGTCCTAATTCAAATACAGTCCCAATTTGAGAGAAATTATTTACTTACTGTTTTACTTTAGACAAGACACTTAATCTCTCTGTGCTTGAGTTTCATTCAGGATTGTCCTGAGCGCTAAATGAACAGTAACATGCATGTCTTGGTCCAGCAACAATATCCTATAAAAGTTAGTTTTATTATCACCTTCATTACTATTTTACAAAGACTTATTGTTCAATATAAAAACAGCACTTTAAGGAATCCTGATTTTATTTCTCAACTTCTTAACTGAGTCATCCTTCAACTCTTTTTAATTAAAATGTAACAACCATCAGAGGTCCTATTTGGTAGGATGCAGAGACAAAATGTGATGAGCCGGCATTAGCAGTGCTCACATTTATAATCTCTAGAGGATTCAGCATGTTTATCTAGAAAGAGCTGCCTCCATTTTAATAGTGACACAACCTACCATGTGACTCTCTCCTTTCTAAATAAAAGAGTATTATTCTAAATTTAACTACAAGGGAAAATATTCAAATTTGCCCACGCAAATTTGTGTGCCTTCTGATGTGTAGGGGAAATGTGTTTCCAAGCATGGTGCTTTCTTTAGCTCTTAGCTTCCTCTAAAACCAATCAAAGGAAATGCTTAACCTTGGATGTTTATCCTTGACTCTGACAGAAGTTTTCCTTTGTTTGAAAAGAAAAACTCCAGGTTCAGACACCAAAAATGTTTTTGGAGTTAAATGGTCTCATGAAGAACATGTCTAGTCAAATTTATGCCCCCAAAGGCCACCTGTCAATGTACAGATGCTAAAGAAGTTCATAGAAAAGACAAGTTCCTGTCCCCTGATAACACACTGTGACAGGCAATTTCTCATGGGAGTGCGGTAAAAGGGCGTTGCAACAAGAGATTGAGAAACAGACACATCTTGCCACTGTGACAGACACAGCCAGGAGTCAGTATTCTCGTGAATTTTACAGCCTAACTCTAAGCTCCACACGAGGTTTTGTTGGTGGCCAGGAAGGAGTTTTGGGCAGCAATATGGTAAAACCTTAATTTGTGGAGACAGTACCTTAAACGATTAAACACAAGACAACAAGCCCAAAATGGCATCATTTTTGTTAAGCTCCACCTCACCAAAAAAAAAAAAAAGAAAAGAAAAGTTTAACTTGGTCATAGTGCCTGCCTCTCCCAGAAACAGAATCTTAAACTTATTGATCAAGAATCATCTAGTGAGTGCTAGTGAGTGAGGCAATCTGAATGACAGATCTCTACATTCACCAAAGGAAAGTGACTTGCCACAACCAATTATGTTTTGTTACTTTAACTTCATGCTTCCACTGTCTTCTGCCTACAAAAATCTTGCATTTTGCAGTTTCTCCAAGCTCCTATTTGTCTGCTGGATTGGATGCTGCCCTATTTGTGAATCGTTTGGGTAAAGTCAAAATGATCTTTAAAATTTACTCAGTTGCTGTACTACAAAGCCATAATCATCAAAACTTCATGGTACTAGAATAAGAACAGACACATGGACCAATGGAACCAAATAGAAAATCCAGAAATAAACCCACAGATTTATGGTCAACTAATCTTTGACAAAGGAGCAAAGAATATGCACTGGAGCAAAGAAAGTTTGTTCAATAAATGGTGCTGGAAAAACTGGGTTGCTACATGCAAAAGAATGAAGCTTGACTACTACTTCACACCATGCACAAAACCAACTCAAAATGGATTAAAGAACTAGACATAAGACCTGAAACCATAAAATACACAGAAGGAAATATAGGTGAAACACTACATGACATGCACCTCAAAGACATCTTTACAGACACATCACCCAAAGATAAACAGCTGGGACTACATCAAATTAAAGAGCTTCTGCACAGCAAAGGAGACCATTACCAAAACAAACAGAAACCCCACTGACTAGGAGAACATTTTTACACACAACACTAATGGTAAAGGACTGATCACAAAAATCTACAAAGAGCTGATGAGACTCAACAAAAACAAAGAAAATAATCCAGTCAAAAAATGGGCAGAAGAGCTAAAAAGAAACTTCTCCAAAGAGGAAATGCAAATGGCCAACAGGCATATGAAAAAATGTTCAACATCACTTGTAATCAGGGAAGTGCAAATCAAAACTACCATGAGATACCATCTTACACCAGTGAGAATGGCACATATTAAAAAAATGAGCAACAACAAATGTTGGCGAGGTTGTGGAGAAAAATTAACTTTCCTGCACTGCTGGTGGGAGTGCAAACTGGTCCAACCACTATGGAGAGCTGTTGGAGATTTCTGGACCTACTAAACATAGAGCTTCCATATGATCCAGCAATTCCACTCCTAAGTATTTACCCAAATGACACAGAAACATTAATTCCAAAGGGCACCTGCATCCCTATTTTTATAGCAGCACTATTTACAATAGCTAAGCTTTGGAAACAACCCAAATGCCCAATAATAGATGACTGGATCAAGAAGATGTGGTACATATACACCATGGAATATTACTCAGCAATCAAAAAGATAAACACATGCAGTTTGCAGCAACATGGATGGAGCTAGAAGGGATCATGCTCAGCGAAATAAGTCAGAAAGAAAAAGAAAATACCGGATGATCTCATTCACAGCAGGAATTTAGAAAACCTAAATAAGGGACCAGGAAAAAGACTAATACAAAGTAAAAATCAAAATCAACAAGCAACTATAAACCAGAGACACACTACGGGGAAGGGAGGGGGATGTGTGGGGAGAGGAAGGACTATGGTCAAAATAAGAGGGGTGCAATTGTATGGGGGAATATAACCAAAATGAAAATGCATACATTGTGCAAAAATGAAAAATGATGTAAGAATTATATAAAATAAAATATTTTAAAAAATTTACTCAGTTGAATTTTTATTTTAAAGGATACTTTTCAAAACACCTCCCTTCCTCCAGTTATCTTCCAAACCACCCAGTGAGGTAGGGCAGGAATTATCCTCCCACTTCTCAAGCCAACAAACTAAGATTCAAAGAGGTTTCTCGAATAGCCAAGATCTCCCTGCTAGTGGGCTTAAGGAGTTCTAGGCAACCCATTGCGGTCCCTAGATCCCAGGTGCTTCCAACCACAGCTTCCATGCAAAGACCCTTCCAAAGTCCGTTGTAATAACATAGTAAGGGCACCCATTGAATATATTCTTTCTTTTGAGACTTAATTTCCAGTTAGGGGTAAATAACCCCTCTTTTGAAGTCGCTCCACATTCTCCAAGCTGACAGCACCTATTTTGCAGGAGATGGGTAGCAAAACCCACCTCACAGTCCAGGTCAGGCTGGTGGGGGTGGAGGTGAAATGCAGCTATTCTGCTTTCTTCCTGGAAACCTCAGCAGGTGAACTTCACCTGGGGCGCTCCGATCTAACAATATCCTCAGGCTTTCACGCTCCAACAGAGCTTGGTGACATAGGAAAACGTTGCTTTGCTGCCGGATACCCACAGGCTTGGGCATGTTGAGGGAATCTTCCGAGGTCCCTAGCACTCTCTGTGTGCGCTTTGGGGGAGGCCCAAGAAAAGCTACCAAAAACGAAACACAGCGCCTGGGGTCACAGATGGTTCAGGCTTTGTACTCACGGGATCACTCCCCGCCAGCTGCCCCCGCCCCCTACCCCCCTGCACACTCCCGCCGTAAGTCAACTCCTTACTTACAAGTCCGCCGGCCTCTTCTGAGGAGCCCCTTCCCCTTCTCCAAGGTGCCCTGGGAACTGCCCCGCACCTAACCTGGGCGGCCCCCAATTTTTGGCAAGTGACTCTGGTGTCCCTTCCACCACCCCACGTCTCGGGCAGCCTCCTCTCCACCCCACCCACCTCCCACGCAGCCCCTTACCTCCTGCTCCTCTCCCGGAGCCCTCAGCCCAGCCTTTGTCGGCTCAACCTGGCGGTAGAGAACTGCTCCCCGGGAGCGCGACTGGTTGGACTCCGAGCTCCCCAGCTGCGGGGGGGGGGGGGCGAGCGGGGATGAGGGAAGCGACGCCGTGACGCCGCCACGCGTCCCCCCAACCACCCGCTACCGTAGCAGCCCCAGAAGCTCCCCCAGGAAAGCGAAGCGCCGCTCCAGGGCCTGCTGCTGGCAGGGACTTGCCAAAAACTCTAACTGGAAGGAATGTGGGCACCCGCCGCCGCCGTACCCACCGCTCTGCCCACCCCGGGACCCCGGCGCGGTGGGCTCCGGACAGCCCCGCGCCCGCTCGGCGGCGCTCCCTGGGGACAGACAGAGCCGCGCTTGCAGGCGTCCAAGCAAAGAAATAAACACAGAATTGGCGGATGTGAACGCCTAACCCCAAACGCCGCACGCATCGGTATTCAACATTCAGTGCCATTGCTCGAAATGAAGAAGATGCTGGTGAGTGTTTTGGGTTGAAGTCTGCACTGAAATCAATGGCCTCTTGGGCACCAGCAACTCACCCCCGGCGAGAGCAGCCGCGCGCGGACCTCAGCTGCTGCCCGGCGGGATGTCCCGCGCAGGACCCTGTCCGCGTTCCTCCAGCCTAACCGGCCCCTAGTCTTCTGGCCGCCCGGGTTTAGAATCCCACCAGAGCAGTGCTGCTGACAGCAGCCAGATCACGGTGGGTGAAGCCGCCAACCAATGCGGAAAGTTCACAAATAGAAAGCTAAGCCTGTTCTGGAGGCCGAGCACGGGAAGTCCCTCCACCGCTGGGGGGCCTCAGCGCTCTCTGGCAAAGCCCTTGTCCCTGGAAAGGATTCTTGAGCCTTTATCTGCAGCAGTTAACATTCCCCAGATGAGCCAGTTCTGTTCTTTTTGGAAGCGTCCCTTAGTAACTGAGGCTAAGTAGTTAAGTTGGTCTCAGGCCCTAATAGCATAAGGGAGAGCAAAAACCGGGCCTAACTTTCTCTTTGAGGCTTCTATTCACAGACACAGCTTAGCAGACACAATCTGAGCAAGCAGAAGCCAACAAGCTTGAGCTAAGCTCCTAGGTCAGCTGGAGACTGAGAAAGCAGGGGTAGGAGGAGTACCCAGGGGTGGGGGCTCACCAATAGAAATTCCAAACTCCAGTCTGAGGAAAAGTCTCTTTGGGCTTTCTCATATATGACTGCCCTGTGACTAGCCTAGTCCATATGTCTTTGCCCCAAACCAGTTTTCAGCCAATAAATTTCAACTCGTTTGTTCTCAACCCTGGTCCCAAAAACCTACAAAAATTCATTTTCTTTCTTAAAGGTAGATTTTAGTTTTTCTCCTAAATCCTTGCCAATCAATTCAAGATGAAGTTGATTTCTCAAAGGCCTGATATCATTATCTGACCGATGTCCTTAGGGTGGAGTCCTCCTTGCTTGGTAAATCGTTCTGCTCAGTAAAACCAAACTCCACCACTCTCCCCTTAGTTCTTTTGCCTTTTGTCACTTCCAGGTTGTGGAACCCCATCCCAGGTATTTGGGGATTTACTTGCCAGGTGTCTCTCTGGAATAGCCCCCTCTCCCACAGCCTGGCCTGAAGTGAGTGGTTAAGGAGAGGCACAGCGAGCGTAGTCTTCAGATGAAGACAGTTGGAATTGATATCACAAAGTCAAGTAAATTCTAACTGAAAGTCAACCCTCTTCCATTTAGGGCTGCCTGCTTGGAGTCTAGACTGGTTTAGATCTGAAGAATTCTGAATGTTTGAATTCTGTCGCTGGAATTCAGAGGGGAGAATTCCTGAGGGGAGACTGAGAAAGGCCTACATCAAGCTACGTCAGGAAGAAAAGGGTGTGGGGTGTGTTTTGTTGTAGCTCTATTATACACTGGGTTATGCCTGGTACTTTTCTGACTTATCTTAAGCATTCCTATCAACATTATGTTAATAGCAAATCATCTGTTGCCATTTTACAGAGGAGGAATCTGTGGCATAGAGAGTTTAAATTATTTGCCCAGGGTCACAAAGCTACTCAGTAGCACAGTCAGGCTTTGAAAGCAGACATGGCTGATACCAAAATATGTCTAGTTTCTACCATGCTCCTGAAATTAAGAAACCAAGTCTGTTTCTGAAATATTTAAAAGAGAAGAGGAATCAGAAAGAAGCTAAAAGTGTTTTAAAATAAGCGCAAATATCCATGCAAAGTAAATCAGCAGCCTACTTGTGAAAAATAAAGCACTACTAAGTGGCAGATGGGACGTGGTCAGAGTTTATGTGTGTGTGTGTGTGTGTGTGTGTATACACACACACACACATATATGCATACTTATATATACAGTCTTGTAGAAAGAATCAGAGATTTTGTACCAAGACTGTAGAATTTGATTAGTCCCCTCTGGTGCCACTCTGAAATCATTTTTATGTGTGTGGAGGGGGAGGGGGGCGTTCTACATATTTCCACATGCATGGTCAACATCTAGTCACAGATAAAGGAGGCTCACATTCTGGAAAAGTATCTGTACAACTAAGAAAAGTCAAAGACAGCTTTTTCAGATTAGGAAAAACCATTGGAAACCTGCTCTGTTCTCCCTGTCACCTAGCAGTATAATTTCCCAAGTGTTAAATGTGAGGGACTGGCTTTCCAAGACTGCCTAATGGATTGGTCAGCTCTGAGAAAGTCACTGATAATTACAAACTAAACTCCAAACCAGGGAAGTAAAGGCTGGTTTTATCTTATTTTTCATGGGGAAGGTCATCTTCCAGATCCTCCAAGATCCACCCAAGGGCAGTAAGAGTGTCAGGAACAAATCACCACCTGAGCTACTGGGCTTACACCCAGACCCCTTTTGTTAGACACAAAAGCTGCACTGTGGCCAGGACAGCTTCGAAGGAGCCTAAAAGCCTGGTGCTGCCCACCCAAACTCAGCCAGGCTTCACACGAAATGTGTGCCGTGACAGAGATGCAGCCCTCTTTCTGAGTTCAGTTGAAGGAGTCGGCAATGGGGAAATGAGGCTGTGTACAAAACAGGAAGGAAGTGAAGTGAGATGAACTGCATAATAAGCCCAGAGGAGCCTCATGGCATCATCACCATGCGGGCACTGGGAAGGAGCACGCCCTGCAAAGGAGCGAAACCAACATGTGGCAGGAAGTGAAGGAACCCAGGGAGTCTGCATTGAGTCTGTCTTAGTTTCTTTTCCTCTGTCTGTCTTTCTGTCTATCTGTCTGTGAAACATCCACTGTCCACAAAATGACTAAGTTGTGTCATTTTACATACGTGATGAACTTACCATAAACAAATTCACAGAGAGAGAAGGTAGAATAGCAGTTAGGGGCTGTGGGAGAGGGACTGGGGAGTCAGTGTTTCGTGGGTATAGTTTCTGATTAGGAGAGCCAAGTTCTGGAGATGCAGAGTGGTGATAGCTGCATATTATTGAAATGTACTTAGTGTCACCAAATTGTACATTTTAAAATGGCTAAAATAGCAAACTTGTTATACCATAGTAAAATAAAGTTTAAAAGAATTTTTTATTAAAAATTTGTTATGATGTAATACTTTTGGGAGTGAAAGCAATATATGCTGAGAGGGTGCCTATTCTTGGAAATTCCTTGTTTTAGCTTTAATAAATCTTGCTCTATTTTGTTTTCTTTTAGGGGTGCTGGAGCCAGTTTGGGGGTTGTTGACTCCCCTACTCTGAAGGAAAAATAGTTCTACCATTTCACTGTTTGCCTCTGTAGTGATAAATAGCTTGAGCCACAGGGACATATTCAGAGAGGCCATGCTCTGAAAGTGTGACAAGGTGGTCCCCAGGGAAAGGGAAGGTTCTAGGTTCCCTGTCCCACCCAAGAAAGAGTGGAGCTGAGCATGGAGGAGAAGCTGTTAAAGAGACTGGAAGAAAGAAGGAAAAGGATGGGGAGCCAGGAGACCTGGAGGAGGCACATGAAGAAGAGAGACATGTGAAGATGCACTTGCTTCTTGGCCTTAGACTGATTGAAACAGATGTGGGTGTGAGACCTGCGGGGAGGTTAACAGTGGCAGTTCTTTTTTTTTTTTTTTTTTAAATAATAAATTTTATTTTTATATTCCCCATACATTTGCAACCCCCCCATTCTGACCCCAATCCCTCCCCTCCCGCCCCCCCCCCCCCAAAAACTGTCTCTGGTTCATAGTTTTTTGTTGATTTTAATTTTCACTTTCTTATAGTTATAACAGTGGCAGTTCTTAATCTTGATTTTGATTTTGCTCCTTCTGTCCCAGAGGTGCTGGGCCCCTTCTGCCCCTTTCCTATGGGTCCCCACCAGGAGGTGCCTTAGACTTGTGGCAGGCTTTCAGGCCTCAGTGGCCCTGCTTTGGGCCAGTCTTGTTTGGCTGTGCATTTACCCATGAGGGGATGGGTAACTTCTGGTGCTTGATTAGGAAACTTTATTCTTTCTCTTGTCTTTGTTGCAAACCAATTGTATTAAAGTTCCTTTTCATAAAGGTCTTACACACTAGAGTATGATTTGTCTTGCTGCAACGGATGGCAAAACCTATTTAGAGAGGGCCGGTTGGGGGTTCTGGGATGCCGCTTACCCTGCCCTGTAATAAAAGGAGCTCTTTGCCTTTAAGAGACACAGAAAGTCAAAACAGTGTTGTGGCCACAGATGAGTGTGCTGTTTACTTCCAGTCAGTCAGGATGCCAGACACAAAAGCCCGGCAGCTTCAGGCAACCCCT